GAGTTATAATTAAATTTTAATATTTTGCTTTGTTTTTGTTATACAAAAAATTGATCTACAAATTGCATTTTTCTATTTGTTTTGTGTAACAGAGTATAAACTCACTGTGTACAAATAGAAATTCTCTTAAAAAAATATATCAATATGCACTTGCTATTAAAACCAAAAAAAAAACATAAAATTCTTATTTTGAGCATCTTTAAATTGGATAATTTTCGAGTCGGGTTGGATTCGGGTTGGCATTCACCCCAAACCTGGTCTGAAATTTTAGGTTAGATTTTTCCAACCTAAATCTGATCTGCCTGAAATTTCAGGTTTAGTACTTTAATATAAAAGCAAATAAACAATCGATAATTTAATAAAAAAAATAAATAAAAATATATATATAATAATTTAATAAAAAAAAAAATACAATTTTAAAAAAAAGAAACAATAAATTTAATATAAAAAAAATAACTGATAATTTAATAAAAAAAAGAAACATAATTTAATAAAAAAAAAATTTAAGTGATAATTAAATATATATATAAAAAAAAGAAATGATAATTTAATTTTTAAAAAAAGAAATTGTATTTTAAAAAAAAGAAGCAATAATTTAATATAAAAAAAAAGAAATAATAATTTAATAAAAAAAATATAATATAAAATAAATGATAATTTATTTAAAAAATATAATATAAAATAAACAATAATTTAATAATAATAATAAAAAGAAATGTAATTTAATAAAAAAATAAGAATGATAATTTAATATTAAAAAAAACAATAGTTTAATTTAAAAAAAGATAATTTAATAAAAAAAAGAAATATAATTTAATTATAAAAAAAAAACAAGAAGCAATAATTTAATAGGAAATAACTTCTTTTAACCAGTGGTAAATTTATCTGTTACACAGCTAATTATCAGTTAGTAATAGTAACTTTACCTGTTACACAGCTGATTGTCATACTTATGACATAATTACAGTTATACATATCAAATTTCTTTTATTTTTTTTTTCTTCTTCTCTTTATGCTTCTAATATATGTTACAATTGCGGGTCATTTGCACAAGCTAATTCATTCTTTTTAAACATAAGACATAAGGTTGTTATAATTTCTGCTTTGAGACCATTAAGAATTCTGATCTACCTATATACTTTAAATGTTATAGTTCTAATTCCAGTATATAATAGGTCACAAGCTACTTTTTTTTTATGAACATAAGGCTGTTGTAAACTCTGATTTACGTATGTACTTTAAACATTATTGTTTATTCTTTTGAAATATAAGATTATTATAAATTTTTGTTTTAAGGTTGTTGTGAATGCTGATCTATGTTGTACTCTAAGTGTTATCACTCTAAATTCTGTTATAATAGGTCAAGCGGTATACTTTTTTTTTTATGAACATAAGGCTGTTGCAAACTCTGATCTATGTACGTACTCTAAACATTATCATTTATTCTTTTGAAACATAGGGTTATTATGAATTTTTGTTTTAAGGTTGTTATAAATTCTGATCTATATCATACTCTAAGAATTATCACTCTAAATTCTGTTATAATAGGTTAAGCGTTGATTCTTTATATTTTATAATCTAGAATTATGATGAATGAAAGGGTTGGGTGCAAGTATTCGAAATCTGTTGAAGGCAGTAATTCTTCATATTTGAAGTCTGCTAAAAGCAGTAATTCTTTATATTTGAAATCAACTGAAGACTGCAATTCTTATGAACAAAGTAACTTTTCTAATAAAGATGACAATTCTTATGGACAAAGTAACTTTTCTACTGAAGACAGCAATTCTTATAGACAAAGTAACTTTGGATTGTATTGGAAATCAGGTAAAGAAGACACTTCAAATAGACCAAATAATCGTGAATTATACTATGACAGAAAAATTTGGCCCGCACAAAAATCTTTTTGGCCCGCACAACAATCTTTTTGGCCTGTACAACAATCTTTTTGGCCTGCACAACAATCTTTTCTGGCTTCACACTCTTTTCAAGATTTGTATTTTCCTTATAATAAGCAATGTTCTACTCAGGTAAATTATCTGTTGATGAATACTTTATTTAATTTATTTAGCTTTATAATTCTTAACTAAAAAAGGCTTAATTCATTTAGGTTTCATATCAATTTTACAATCAAAATATAACTTCATTGTCAAGCGATACACCAATAAATGGTTTTATTGAACCTTCATATGATTATCAAGTAATTCAAAATCAATTACGCCCTCAACTTATGTAGGTATTATTAAGCTTTTTAGTCAATAAAGCTGCATTATTTACTTATTCGTTTATAATCTATCTATATATAGGCTTGGTCTCAATAATTTCTATGAGATTGATAATTATGATAAGATTAATGACTACAATAAGATTAATACCTACTATGAAATTAATGACTGCAATGAAATTTTTGATACCGATTTTTTAGATAATGAAATAATGTAGTGCCATCGGGATTATATGTAGAACAGAGCTTTCACACATAGGACGAAGCTGAAGAGTACCTTAATAATTATGGAAAGGAAAAAGGGTTTAATATTCATAGAAAATGAAGTAAATGTTTTATTGAAAATAAGAACAAAGTCATAACAAGAATTAATTGGGAATGTAGTTGTGCGAGTAAATATCAACTAAAAAAGATTTTAAACCCTACTAATCATCGAAATAGACAATCTAAAGTTACTGATTGTGAGTGGAAAGTTAATGAAAATATGTCCAAGAAATTATCATCATCGATTGTTTTTACTACTGTTGTGAATTAATATAATCATTCAATGACATCTTCACCTACCATTACAATCGCAAAATATCGTAAATTTAATAGTGATACAATTCAATTTATTGAGTTTTGTGTAAAAAGTGAAATATCAGGTGCACAACCTATTGGTCGATTACTAAAAAGCAAATTTCCAGAAATAAGTATTCATCAAAAAAGCCTTTATAATGCTATCCAAGCAGCAAAAAAACATTTGACTAAAAAAGCCAAATTTGATACATCTGATCTTATGCGCTATTTATATTCAAAATGTACTGAAGATTCAAGATGGTTTGTTAAAAGTAGATTTGATAGACTTGAGCGAAGATTAAGTGGACTAATTTGGTTATCACCCGATCAACAATATTTATGGACTAGATATCATGATGTTATTTTTCTTGATACAACTTCTCGCACAAATAAATATAATATAGTTGCATGTTTTTTTGTTATTATTGACAACTGTAATAAATCACAACTTGTTGTATCTGCTTTACTTGAAGATAAAACCAAAGATAGTTTTATTTGGACATTTCAAATGATTAATAAGTGTATGAATAATTTAATGCCGCAGTAATATTTACAGATTCCGATCCCGGAATAGCTGGTGCAATATATTTAGAATTTTCAAGTTCTGTTCATTGTTTATGCTTATTTCATATTGATCTCAATTTAAAGAAGAATCTTCGAAATAAGCTTAATTCAGATAAATTTCGGGAGTTTCGTACAAACTTTTTTAAATATAGAAATACTATGGTTGAAGATTTATTTGAAAGTTGTTGGGAAGCTTTGAAGTTAAAGTATACTTTAGCAAGTAGTTATATAAAGCATCAATTAGATCCAACCAAGACAAAGTGGGCTGTATACAATATCAATAACCAATTTACTGCAGGTGCAAATAGTACACAGCGTGTAGAAAGCCTGAATCATAAAATTTATAGCTATGTGGGATCCAATTCATCACTTTTGGAATTAGTTAAAGAAATTTAAGATATACTTGACAAGGAATCGAATTATATGAGGATGGAAGAATATAAAAGTGAAATTTCTAAAGTCGGGCTTGCAACTGTGCCTAAAACATATTTTAATTCAATTAAAACAATTATTTCACAATATCTTATGCCAACAATAGTTTTTAAGGCTTGTGAGCAAATGCAAGAATATTTCTTTTATGATTGTATTAAATCAACTATACGAATCTTGAGTCTATATTACAGGTAACTCTTTGAATTATGCATTATTAAACTAAAAATATTTATCATACTAACTGATTTATATTGTTAGGAACAAGTAAATATGGATTATAATGAAGGAATGCATGAAGACAACTATGAGCTTATGAAAGTTCATTTGGTTAATATAGTTGAAAAAGTTGGATATAAACAAATTGTCAAAATTTGGAAATTAGTATTGCCTTGTGGAACTAAAAAACAATATATTATACTTACAGTAGATAATTCACATATATGTACATGTAATCTTCTTATAATACATAGTTATCCATGTAGACATTATTTTTATAAAATTTTACGTTGCTTTTCTCAAGCTAAATGGCACATTAGACTTATTGCAAGACGATAGTATAAAGTTGATATTATCAAAGAAAATCTGAATAAAGTTTGGGAACAATCTCCTATCTCATTATGCATTGATAATATTCAAAATCAAGATACTATAAATAATTTTAGATATTTGAAAGATATTCGCAATTCAGATATTTATACACCAGTATTGCAAAAATTTAATAGTACTCGCCAAAAATATGGCTGTGTACAAGGCATAATACAAAAAGTTCTTGATTTAGCAATTTCTACTAATTCATATGATGAATTAATAGGTATTTGTCAAACTTTTATATTAAATAAGCAGCACATTCAAGAATCATAGCAAGATAAATCGTCACGAAATGAATCACCACAAGATGAATCACCACAAGATGAATCACCACAAGATAAATCACCACAAGATAATG